TTGGAGTTTCCGCCGCGCCATCTCTGAGAATTAAAGTCGGCGCTTCCAGACGCTAATTCCCGTCGATTTGAAAAGGCCGGGGCGGCAAACTGCCTAAAACTGGCGCGCTAGAGCGAGAGAGAGTGAGAGAGAGCGGGTGCCTCGGGGAGGAGAACTCAGTGCAGCCCGAGCGAGCAGTCTATGCCGCGCCTGCCTGCAGCGTCTGCACGGGGCAGTAATGTTTCCACAAACTTGGGTAATACCACATAACCTCTCCCCGGGGCGGCGTTAGAGGCAGCGCCGGCCCGCCGGGCACCGCCGCGCCGGGCCACCTGAGCACCGCCGCCTTCATAAACAAAAGCGCGGGTCGTTAGAAAGTTCCGGCGCGAGGCGATGAGAGGTGGGGGACCGAGTGCTAACGGCCGCGGAGCAGCCCCTCCGGAGAATGGACGGCCCCGCTCGCAGACACGACCTGCCCGCCGTACACGGCGAGCCCGCAGGACGGACCTCACACCTCATACCAACACCAACTGACAACGTAATCGGCGACATGTCCTTCTTCGCAAATGATCTTTGGTGTCGTTGATGTCCTTCTGCTCCACGGCGTCTGTGTCCCCCTCCTCAAAGGGTTCGTAACCAAGAAACCAATACTCTAAACCCCGGCGCAGTTCAAAGTGCCTCAATACAACGCGATGCCGTGTTGTTGTGGTGTTCATCTGGCCAATATGGCTGTTGCTCCCGCACCTGTCCGCTGTCCCCAGGTCTCTGTCCTGCTGGCCTGTCCGCTGTCCAGGACCTTCACTCTCCCCCGCCCGCGGAACTCTGTCCTTGCTTCCGATATCGCTTCATAATTATCCACTCTCTGCCGCGACCGACGGTGTGCGTGGCAAAGGAAGAGGGGAGCAGCAGAGTGGCTTCTTTTAATCTCGACTTAATTTGACTCGTTTGTGCGCAAATTGCTCCTCGCCCCGTAGCTGCCGAGCCCCCCTTACTGGGACGGGGCCCCGCGCCTCTGCTCGCTCCGGGCAGCGG